TATTACTGTTCCTGTTAAAATTAAAGCTGTTTCATGATGTATGTAGAAAATGATTGCATATATATAAAAATAGGTTTTTTAAATTTTAAGGCCTTTTTCTTCATATTTAGGAGGTGGCAGATATAAGGACAGAAAGGACAGAGTGTATAAATTCCTGGAAGATTCTCATTTTCTCTCATAATCCATCTTTGTGGTAAATGTGAAACGTTTAAATAAAGGGGTTGCTCTAGTTAATAGTGTAAAAAAGAAGAGTTGAATGTAAGTTGACCCAGAGAAGGAATACAGTTCATGTTTTTAGGAAGCAGCTTTGTTTTGGGTTGAATTTGGGCAGATACTGTTAAGATAGTGTGTTCTTTACATAACAGCATCAGCATTCTTGTTTATCCTCCCAGTATCATCCCCCAGTTACTTGGGACTGTTTGAATTTCTCAAGTTAATATCCAAGTCACTTTTGAGGCTATAGACTCAAGTCACTCAAGTCACAAGGACACGTGTTGTGCATTATTTTTCCGATAGTACTGTAGATCTGTTTACAGTCTCCTGGACCCTTCTGACTAGTCTTTGTGAGAACACTGAACAAAGCTGAAGGGGAATGTATAGCTGTGAAGCTGCACTTGGTTTTTGTTGAGGGGATTGGTCCATCTGAGATTGCAGGAACAGAGAAATTCTGCGATAGCTGTCTAAGTGAATAATACTTATGATTAAAACTAGAGAATTTTCTTTATGCAAAAAATTTAAAATTTCTAAGGAACTTTTTTTTAAGAAGTTAGAGTTTTTATTTTTTCATGCAAATGACGTCTGCCTGAAGGAATCATATTGGAAATCACAAAACATACTTTTTTGCTTCTGTGTTTGGAATAGTTCCTCTAGCTATAATAAACAACTCCAGATATCACTGGCTCACCACAGTAAAAGTTGCTCACTTCTGTCACAAAACAGTACATGGAGGTGGGGATGGAAAACATGGCTGCTCTCTTAATGCAGTCATTGAGCACCACATAGTCTCTCAGGTTTCTTTCTTCTTGTAGTGTTACCATTTATCACAAGCCCTCCAAGATCACTGCAGCAGGGAAAGGGAGGGGAGGATCACAGGTGGATCATTTTTGTGTTTCAGGCCTAGTAGTGGTTTGCATTGCTACTCCATACATCCCCTTGGCCAGGGCTCAGTCATGTCCCAGTGCCGCTGCAATCAGTTAAGAAATAGTTTAGTTGTGTACCCAGAAGAAAATGGAACTGGGTTGACACAAGGTCAGCTTTCTACTGAGAGGTTTGGAGGCTGGAACACTGGGCATCTGCAGAACTACAGCAGTGTAATTGAGAGAATAGTTGGAATTT